CCCCCCCCCCCCGCCCAAAAAAAAAAAAAAAAAACAGCATTGGAACACACCTCGGGGATACTTATGATACATTCTTAGCTATTCTTGCGCATGTTAAGCCAGACAACAGAAATTGAACACTTTCATTATTCTATTAGAGTGTGTCATGCTTGTTGCTTTTTTGGTACTCAAGATTATAGTCTACAGAAAGGATTTCCGTGGGAACTGCATCTGTCTATAACATAACACAAATCTACAAACAATCACTCTACCTTTACGTTTATTTCATAAAAACAGGACTGGATACGAAAAAGGGTCCGGTAATGAATAGATCAATGATGGAATTGATTTACTTATTGGAAGCGCGTTCGATTGTTCGCAAACAGATTAACCTGTCAAGGTGTTCGTAACGTGAAATTGCCTGAATAAGCAATGGGATAAAGGAAATAACGACACTGATAGAATTTCTTATGATTCACTTCTGTTATTTGCATATCTTTTGGCCGTATACCGGTATGCGTTTATGGCCGAATATCTCACTCAAGTTTCAAATCTTGCACGAGTTCACACCAGCGCTTAGTTCAGCGTTGAGTCCCATCCACACCAGTTAGAACAAGTCCTCACTTGTTCCGTTTTGTGTGTATCTGTCTCACAGAGGACGTGGCAACAGTCAATTTGGTCTTGCAGCTAAAATATACAGAGCCTGCTCTCTCAAATATTCGTCCCATGACACCAATCTGCAATAATACAGACAAGCCGTTAAAATAGCCTGCGTATCAGGCGCCGGGTTTTTTTCTCGAGAAATCTCGAGAACGCGCAGGCGCGAAAAGGGAGGAAAGGAGTGGTGGCTCCTTTCCCTATTGCGTGTTCCCCTCGCGCGCTCTGTAAAAAAAACAAAGACCGGCGCCTGCTACGCAGTCATTGAGCTTTACTAGCTGTCTTACGAACGCAGACGTATTTCCGGTCGTTGCTTCTGGAAATACGTTTGCGTTCGCAAGCTATGTTGCTATGGTCGACGAAAGGAGAAGCAATTAAAAACGTACGGAGATCAGTAAACCAAAATAATTCTAAGTGATCATTGGAGATTATAAGCCAGTTTTTAGGCAGAGATGGACACAGCGTCAGTGTGGTGACGAACTGCACCATGGGAATGTTTCGGGGACGCTATCACTTCTTTCATTGCCGGAATTGGCTGTTACAAGGTTTCACAGGAAACTGGGTCAAAACAGTCCCATATTACAATTCGGCACAACCCCGACCCAGTCCCACGCAAAATCTCAAAATGGTTGTACGGATAAGACCTGTGAAAGTGTACTTTTGTTCTTTCTTTAATATTTCACTTTCTATTGGTTGCTACCCGGAGCGTAAAACAATGGAAATAATGATAAACAATGTGTTATTGTTTCCTGGAACCAACGAGGAGACACAGTATCCTTTTCCCTGCATTGCGACCCTAACGTTCTAGGGGCCCGTTTCCCGAAAATCCCGCGGGAATTACCGGGCCCGGAACGATGTTTTGTTCCCATTCAAGACCGATGTTTTAATATGTTTGAATGTTAAGCAAAAAGACTATCAGTTTGCGAAACAAATGCACTGGTTAGGGGATACAGTGTCGAAAAAGTCCTTCGTCCTATAAAAAGCTCGCTCCACACGCTCTCTGTTGTGAAACTGAAACTCGTCAGGTTGACTTGCTGCAAGTCTAGTTACGGACTAAAGCCGGCGCTTCCTTTCTTTTGGCTTTAGATTTAGATTTTAAAATATGGCTTCGGGTCTGTAAGGTTGACGGGACATTCGAGAAGCAGAGCCCAGTACCTGTTTTTATCCGTGTCAGCATCCATGAACATCCTCGTATGGCGATCAACATGTCCAGAAATATCCCGTGGATCGAGGCCTTTACCGAATGATGAACTCCTGAAGCACAATATATTTTTCGTATGAGCAAGTGACTTTTGAGAGTGTTATGGTGTGTTACAAACGGTTCCTGGGGGCACTCCCACATAAAATGACGGGGATGCTCGTTGTCTCGCTTAGAGATGTAAGTTGCAGATTTNCAAGGTTTCACAGGAAACTGGGTCAAAACAGTCCCATATTACAATTCGGCACAACCCCGACCCAGTCCCACGCAAAATCTCAAAATGGTTGTACGGATAAGACCTGTGAAAGTGTACTTTTGTTCTTTCTTTAATATTTCACTTTCTATTGGTTGCTACCCGGAGCGTAAAACAATGGAAATAATGATAAACAATGTGTTATTGTTTCCTGGAACCAACGAGGAGACACAGTATCCTTTTCCCTGCATTGCGACCCTAACGTTCTAGGGGCCCGTTTCCCGAAAATCCCGCGGGAATTACCGGGCCCGGAACGATGTTTTGTTCCCATTCAAGACCGATGTTTTAATATGTTTGAATGTTAAGCAAAAAGACTATCAGTTTGCGAAACAAATGCACTGGTTAGGGGATACAGTGTCGAAAAAGTCCTTCGTCCTATAAAAAGCTCGCTCCACACGCTCTCTGTTGTGAAACTGAAACTCGTCAGGTTGACTTGCTGCAAGTCTAGTTACGGACTAAAGCCGGCGCTTCCTTTCTTTTGGCTTTAGATTTAGATTTTAAAATATGGCTTCGGGTCTGTAAGGTTGACGGGACATTCGAGAAGCAGAGCCCAGTACCTGTTTTTATCCGTGTCAGCATCCATGAACATCCTCGTATGGCGATCAACATGTCCAGAAATATCCCGTGGATCGAGGCCTTTACCGAATGATGAACTCCTGAAGCACAATATATTTTTCGTATGAGCAAGTGACTTTTGAGAGTGTTATGGTGTGTTACAAACGGTTCCTGGGGGCACTCCCACATAAAATGACGGGGATGCTCGTTGTCTCGCTTAGAGATGTAAGTTGCAGATTTTGGCCTCACTTAGGGTGTTTGGGACAGAAAGTCACTATATTTGCCCCTTCAGGTATCGCTTAGGGCTGTGCATGAAGAACTTAACAAAAAATGCAGTGGTGTCCGTTTTAGTCCGTTTTCGGGTCAGTTTAGTCTCATTTTCATGGGTCTCCCTTCAGTCTGGTTTTCACTAACGACAGAGTCGGAGTCGGAGTCGCAGTCGTAAGCGAAGTCGTAAGAACACTTATGACCTAGTGAAAAGCAAAAATCGGAGTCGTAAGCGGAGTCATAAGCGCGCCGGAATCGGAGTCAGAAGAATCAAGGCGTTTCCATCCCTATTTCGACTCCGCTTACGACTCCGTCGCTTACCTTCCGCTTATGATCTAGTGAAAACCAGATTGTCGGACTCGGAAGCAGAAGCGGAAGGATAAACTAATCACAATACACAATCCCACGCTTTGTGATTGGTTTGGTTCTTCTGCTTCTGCTTCCGACACCGACAATCTGGTTTTCATTAGATCATAAGCTCTACGCTTCTGATTACGCCGACTCCGACACCGACTCCGTCGCTCGTGAAAACTAGCCTTTAGGGGTTTAATTTTAATTTTCCGACTAGTGTCCCCATCACTTATATATGGGAGTCCCCCCGGAAACAGTTGCGAAGAAGACCAAGGAATACAGGACTGATTTAACTTACCGGTCTTTGTCGAATACTCTCAGATTTCCAAACCAACGGTTAAATCCAACAGCCACTTCGTGGGAGTTAATATAGCCATCCTCATCTTTATCAAAAGCGTGGAAAATATCTCGAGCCTTCTGGATCTCGAGAGGGGACAGCATTCTAACAAGCTGAAACTGCAAGGAATAAGAACAACATTGAAGACATGTCCTGATACCTATTCCCATATAACCGCGCCAAAGAAGAAAATTGCGCGCGCCATTCACTTTCTCGCCCGCCCGCCGAATTTTCCCCTATACTTCCCGCAGGGTATCGGCAATTTAAGGTCGCGCGCGAGTGTAAGTTTACTTTGCGTCGAAAGGCACAGTGAGACTGTTTTCGGGGACGAACTTTGACCCACTTTCCCGCGCAACGTTGTATAAGCCAATAAAAAAAGCAACCCCGAAACATTTCCATAGTGCAATTCGACACAACACCGGCCCAGTCTCCCATGCAGCCTCGAAATGGCCCATTCGCAACTTTAAAAACGAGAAGGAAACTGGGCCGCGTTAGCTTTTGCAAAGACTTCTGCCAATAGCTGATCGGCGCGGCGCGGCGACCCTCCCCTCCCCCACCCAGCAACGATCCCACAAACAATTGCGGGACACATTTCGGCTCCAGTCCCCTTTTCGTTTCTTAAGTGACGAATAAACAGTCTTGTTTGCCAGGTGGACACACTGGCTATCCACTGGATAAACCTCTAGTCAGTGAACTGAAACGCAAGTGGTTTAACTAATCCTTATCCACTGGAGAGGGATTTATCCGGTATATGGCGCTATCTAATGTGTGAACAACCGGGGCCAGAAGTCCAACTCCATCGATCTCCATGTTCTTCAGCCCATACTAAATAAGTTCGTAAACGGAAAAATATCATGTAAATCACAGATCTATTGTTAAACTGCTAAAACTATAAACACCTGAAATATTTTACGAACGTTTATTGTGTTATGACCAATCACAACAAAAATCAGGACATGCCGTCAAGCCAAAAAACGAAAAACTTATACTCCATTTGCTGCTTTCGTATTAGTTTTCCCGCTCCTGATTGGCTTTTTCCCTTCAACACAATCACTTTCAAGAAACAATTCTGGTGTTCAGGGTTTTGAGAGTTTCATAGTAAAGGGATAAACGTTTGTATGCGTCTGCAAAGTAAAACTCCAGCAAACTCGAGTGGGCTAGCCATTTTGACTTGGGCACGCGTGTTGGGACTGTTTTGGAGAGTGAATTTTTGGCCAGTTTCCAATAAGAAGAGCAATAGTTTCCCCAAAACAGCTCCATTGTGCAATTCGGCTGAACAGCGACCCCGTCTGACATTCATCTTTAAAATGGTCATTAACTTCAGTCGAGACAATTCTTGTGCCTGTTATTTTGTTTAACAAAGTTGTGTCACAAGTTGCGCCGGATTCTTCACAATGAAAATAACTTGCAACGCTTTCCATCCGTAGGTTTTTTATCCATAAATCATTTACCACAAGGCCTCGGTTGTTCAACGGCTGGATAGCGCTATCCAGTGGATAAATCTCTATCCATTGGATATTGCAATTGTCCGCTGGATAGTGATTTATCGGCTGGATATCACTATCCAACGTTTGAACAACCGGGGCCAGGAAAATAGGGGGCTAATTCACTACCGGGCGAACTTGTAAAGGGCAAACTCACTGATTTCTTGGAAAACTGTTTTGTCAATTGATTGCTTAGAAAATCAGAAAGAAAAATATTCTTACCTTACTTCTGTTTGCACCGATTCGCTTTAAAGCTTCATGATTTAGGAATTCCCACCAATCAATTGTACCTGTTTGATCCTTGTCCATTTGTTTAAACTGCCAAAAAAAAAGACATCGGAGTACTGATACGTTTTTTGTTCTTGTTGATAAAACCGAGGGCGAGATCTGGTCAAGTAAGAAAATTCAATATTTTCGATTGGCTAGATTAATTGTGAGCGAATGACGTGAATGCCGTGACGTGACGCGTGCGCGCATTCTTTGCAAAGTCATCAGTAGAGATAAATAAATATTTTTGCTGAAGAAGTAGTTTTCCGTCTCAATATAACTTGAAAAATCATTTTTATCGTATCCTTAAAGACTTTTTAGAACGCTCTCTCGGTATCAAGATTAAGACTCCAGAAAATGGTACGAAAATTGTCGCTTAGAAGTTGACGCGTACTGCTCAGTTGAGCTTTAAGCCAGCGCCTTTATTAATAAATTTTTAATTAACTCCCGAGCTGAAGTTGATGTTACAAACAGCAACAAATTAGTTGGGTCATACTTAAGCTCTTCGTATAACCACGTTTTGTTAGAGAGTTAATTAACTCCCGAGCTGAAGTTGATGTTACAAGCAGCAACAAATTAGTTGGGTCATACTTAAGCTCTTCGTATAACCACGTTTTGCTAGAGAAAACTTCACAACTCTATCAAATTCGTTGTTTAACACGTCAAAACACGGCTCCCATTTTGAGAAATTATTTCAAGAATGGGCTCTTTCATTGTCTGTCACATTCCTGACAGACAATCACGAGCACAAATCAGATTTGACCAGAACTCGCCCTCGGCTTCGTCGACAAGAAATCTGGGTACGATCGTGGCAGCTAAAAATTTGACCTCAATTTTGGCGTTCAAATTTTTGAACGGCTAGGCGACTAAATGTTCGTACGAATAAGGTGGTTCGGAACATCTAAACGTCGAATTTTCAACTGGTTGAAAATTGGATATAGTCACCTTTGAAATTCAACTCCAGAAAAACGGCAACATTTGACAAATTCAACGAGGTAGAATAGCAGCAACAAGATTTGAAACAATACGAATTCAGTACTGTAGTAGTCCGACTGTATTTATACTTTCCTTTTCTTCATGATCGAACTCTGACTTCGTGGTCAAGGCTAAACCGAAACTGAAGGTTCTTATTTTTTCTCGTTTGATCCTTATCATTTATGTTCGTAGAAAGTTCTCTTCACTTTCACAGACCGCTTTGAGAAAATAAAATCATCAAGAGTACCTCATTCCTAATCTCTTCTTCCATATAGCTTGGCATTTTCTCGTTATGTATTTCTCTGTATTCTCCGGTTTTATATCGTAGGTATTCATCTTCATTAATCTGGGTATCTGAAAAAGATTAACCTTCAATTATTACGAATCAACGACGAAAATGTTCTCAATTGTATTTTAACTTGAGATTAAAATTAGAAATAAAATTAAAGTATTAAGCAGTGTTAAGTAAGAGGTTACGCTGTACTCTGATTGGCTAGATTGCAGAACAGTCCGTGTTTTTTGCGCAGGTCAAGAACGCGCAAACGGACACTGAACGAGAGGTCTGGAGCGCTTCGTGCCTTAGGGTTGATTTCCAGTGTCACATAATTTTAACGTGCATACGTGCGTAAAATTTACGTTCGCAAATAAAATAGGGGTAATGCATGAAAGGTCGCTCGAAAGCGTAAAAGTTGAACCTCGCTCAACTTCTCGTTTAAGCTCACCACTTTTATCTTGCCTCCATTTTATTTACGTGATTAAAATTTACGTTCGTTAACGTGCGTAGCCAAAAACGCGTTAGTGGAAATTAACCTTTAGCCTGGGACCAGGCTCCGCAGTGGGGAAAAAACGAAAAAAAACGGGGTTAAATAGGAAAAATATCGGCGAACGAAGCGAACTGAGTGGTGGCCTGGGGAGGGGGAAAAGGCTCGCCGATTTTTTTCGCCCACGTCGGTTTTTTTCTCCTTTCCCCCAATGCGGGTCCTGGTCCCAGGCTATTCGTGCCTTAAAAAACGATTATGAGAAAAACTATCTTGAAAAACTAGTACGCTTTTTTATACCACACCGCCGGGGTTTATTTCCCCTACTCTTTTCGAACAGCAGTGTGGGTTATTTACGTCCCTTTCCAATTGATAAGAAAGGATGAAGAAGACAAGGCCAACGACTTAACGTCACTGCCTAATGACGCAAACATCTCAACTGAGATCAGATCTTTAATCACAGCCAGCATGAACTCACCAGTTCTTTAAAGACCCTGGATGTTGGTTTGAACCCATGGCCTCCCACTCGGTACACCGGCGTTCTCTTAACTGTAGGGAGTTTTAGCATCGACGAAAGCGACGGCAGCGAAAACGTCACTTTTAAAATGAATTAGAGTTTTTTCAAACTTTGTCGCGTTTATTTCAATTCGCTGAAAATGTCTAATGTAGGCAAATTTCCCTGGAGTTGATTTCTTGGGACTGCTTCCAAGTTTAGAAAGAGAAAGAAAATTTCGTCGTCGCTTGTTTTACGTCCTTTATAAAACGTGATATTATTATTGCTGTTTTGACGTTCTCGTTGCCGTCGCCATCGTCGTTGCTAAAACTCTCTTGTCCTAACTGGGCGGCGGATTAGTACCGCTATAGCCTCCCACGCAGACGCTCTTAGGGGTTCGTCACGCGTTCTAAGACATCTACGTTGGAGGCTAGTACCACTAATGCTTTGGATAAGGATTCAGTTTAAAACCCTAATTGTAAATAGCGTAACATTAAAATGTCATTACCTTGATTTTTATCTAGTTTATCAAAATTTTCTATCAACTGTTGCATTTCTTCATCTGTTAGAAGGGTTGTCAAACTTTCCTGTGAGATATAATTATGTTAAGAAATTTCTCAAAAGCCTGAAAAACAAAAAGCCTAGCTCAAAATTAACCTGATATGAATATAGACCAACAAGGACTTATGGAAATTCTTCCTTATTTCTAGAGTTAATTTTGTCTCAGTTGTAAGCCTAGCCAAACGTGGAATATAAATAGGCCCTTTACAGCTAGCCTGCACAGTGTTCAATCCAGAAATTAGTCAAAGTGGGTCATATGTCCCACATGGAAGTAAATTGGGTCATTTAAAAAATGATCTGGGTAAAACTATGATATGGAAACTTTGAACAACTGACATTATCCAAACTATCATGAGCTTCAACAACATCCTTATCCAGTCCATGTTCATGCTTTTCATGTTCAACTACCATTCTCTTTTGTGTAAAAAATGAACTTAAGTAGATTTTGTTATTGTTTCATAATTAAAGGAAAACAAAAGAACAAAGTCAAATGAATCAATCGGCAAATAAAGGAACGTATCGGAATGTCGAAATGTACAAGACTTGTGAAAGATTTACTGATACAAAAACTACTCGTAAGCACGAAGTCTGAAATGACAGTTATTTTGCACCCTGGGGAGGGGGAAGGGGGGAGGTATTAAGGATTTTTGAGGGTTTGAAATTTTTGATTTCGGAATTTTTTGAGGTAGGAAAATTTTGGCAAGTATTTTTTTGGGTAGCTTTATTTAAGTAGGGATTTTTTTGGGTATTCAATCTGAAAATTTGTGATAGTTCCTGTGTATCCTGGCTGCATAGTTCCTCTGGAAATTTTTGTGGTTCGGAAATTCGGCATGGGATTTTTGGGGGAGTTAAATTTGGTCCAGGGATTTTTTGTTTGAAGCCCTAAGGATTTTTTTTGGGTTTTGATTTCAGCTCCCATTCGATCATTCTTGTCACTCTTGGAATATGGAGTATTTCCCCCCCCCCCCCCCCCTGTTTTTTTTTGTCCCTTCCTGGCGTGCAAAAGGTTTTTATGGGGTTTTGTCTTTTTATTTATGTTTATACAAAACATAAAAAACCATTTTTTTTTCCCAAAACATTTGACACCCCCCCCACTTTCAGTTTTNGTGTTTGCCTTCCTAAATGCATCCAATTCAGACTGATCATACAACTTGCCTTTCTTCTTTAAGCACAGCTCATGAAAAACCTTGCTGCAAACTCGGCAAGGGTGAACTTCAACTCCCGTGTATGCATGGCACACAGAACACAGCTCTTCATATTCAACCTTGTTTGAAAAGTAAATAAAATATATATATAATTTTCAATAGCATGATAATTCTTTACACCTATCTGTGCACTTTTTTGTGATGAAATTTAATTTGTTTACAAGCAATTAGACTTTACTCTTGGTTGTAAAATAAGTTAAATACATAAATTTAAACATGAATCCGAGGTTCATTTTGTTTTTGACAAGAAGGGGGGAGCATACATATACGTAGATATGCTTAATATACTTATGAGAATATATTTCAGTCATTTACTGTTATTGCTCAAGTTTTTATCAGAGTATAATTTAATTATGATGGGCCTAATAAGAAAGCTAGCCTTACCTCCATCACCTCTTTACACATGTCTACTTGCTTGAAGTTCCTTTATACGAATTAAAAAATTACAGTTTGTTTCATCAGGTCTGAAATTTACATATAGTGTAGCTTATAAACAATTATTTGAGGTCAAGTTTATTTTCCACTGTTTAATTTTGCAACTAATCCTATTTTCTTCATCATATTTTGACTTAACAAGTTATTTTCCCCTGTTTATTTTTGTAACTGATCCTATTTTTCTTCAATAATATACAACTATCCTCCAAAGGGGAGATGAATAGTGGTGGATATATACTGAGATGCGACGCATCAAGGTATACATCTAGTGCTGTTCACTGACCCTTGTAATCATACTCGCGATTAAACAAATCGGACTTGATTTTTGTTAATCACTCATATGATTACAGACCGAACTAGACTCCACTCAGTCCTATTACCATTATTCATTCATGTTATTGTAAGTTACTCTTAGTATTTTAAATTTTAATCATAATTATTTTTTAACACTTTTATTTATTTATTTATTTTATTCAAGACATTTATTACTCTACCTACAAAGAACTAATTAAAAAGAAACTAATTACAAAATTTTTAACACTTGCTTTCAAGATTGGGAATAGCCAATAGGAACTGTCCTAATAAGGGATGAAAGAAATTTTTTTAGGGCAAGGGCAAAGCTAGGGGGTCCTGGGGTGCCTGTGGCTCCCCTTCCTTTGTGAGAGGTATCCCTATCCTTTTTTCTGCAAAAATGATTTAAAAAAAAAAAAACACAGATAAACCAACATCTTGCTAAAATCCAAAAATTCATGGTCTTTGATTGACCATATCTCAGCCATCGATCAAACTTGTACAAAGTACTGCCCTTTTCAAAAACATGCGAATCCTAATGTTCAAATGACATTTGCATTTTTTGCAGCTGTCAATCATCATAGCGGACCTCTTAGAAAACAGAAATTTACTTTAATGGGTCCAAAAGGTCATGTCATTTCTGATTTGCGATTGGTGGATTTCGATCTGCTTCGTCTGTTTGTGTGTGTTTCTTAAAGGTTTATTGTTGTGCTTGAGATTATGATTGACAGCAGCAAAAAATACAACTGCAAAGGCGGCTTTTGAAATTTAGAGTTCCTGTGTTTGTGAAAAGCGCAGTAATGTCTGTAAATTTTGCAATCTTCTAGAAATATATTTTATTAGTCTTAAAGTATCACTCCCAAATTTACAGTAATTGTAACAATTTAATTTAAACTGGAAACCATCTCTTCCCATCAGTGTTGATGGCTTTTTGCAGTCTGGTTCAAGTCAACAGTTGGAAAAGCCTGGTCTCTATTAGGGATCAAATAAAGCCTGAGCCATGGCATGCCCAGATTAACCACTGCTCACCTCGACTAGCTAATCTGCTAACTGTTGGCAGGGGATATTGCTTTCTGTAAAATTTACAATAATTAATAAACAGTTCAACAGTTGACAGTTGAACTTGCAAATTCTTCTGAAACTCAGTGTGGCACTTAAGTTATCCCCCGCCAGGCAGGGTTAGGAACTGGTTTGGTCACCAGCCGGGAATACAGTGGGAGCTCTCATAAGCGGACACCCTCGAGAGGCAAAAAAGGTGTCAGTAACTGGAGCTTGCAGTTTACGGGGTTTTGTGAAGGTGGCCATGCATAAGTATAAGAACTGTCTGCTTACAAGAGAGTCCATTACTGGAGAGTGTCATGAGGACTCCTACTTTGTTCTCTCTTGTCTTCTTCTTTTTCATGTTTTACCTATGCGATTCTTAAATGTGTATTGCCATCTCTCAACCAGCCTTCCTCTACCAGAGGTTATACCCTCTAAGCCCCTCAGCCATCCCCCCTCTCTCCCCCCACCACCCCAGCACCAGGTATTGAAAGCATGATAACAGTGCTGTCAACTCTCCTGGATAGGAAACTCCAGATTTTTGATCGTATCTCCTGGTCTCCAGATTATAGTATGAAATCTCCCGGATAATTGCTGAAGTTTGCCATTTCTTCAGTAGACTCAAGTTTCCGACAATAAAGTGTCAACTATTTTGCCTTGTTTGGGCTATTCAAAGGTTAACATCGATCGTTTCCTCAAAAACTCTGGTGTGCCATAATGTAATATTATAATAGTAATGCGATTGGTCTCTTCGTGGGAAGTAAACCAATCAGGTCAAATGTTACAATGCCAACTACATCTTTATCGCAAATTTGGACGATCGGAGTGATTGGTATTTTTGCACTAAGGACGTCATGTGCCGTGCGTTATGACGTCATCTGAGCCTCCCACGCAAACGTTCTTAGGGGTTCGTCACGCGTTCGTGGGAGAGGAATGATTGCGTGACGAATCCGTAAGAACGTCTGCGAGGGACTCTGGCTAACGTCATCTATCATTCCTCAATATTTGAAGACGTTGGGGGTTGACAGCCCTGTGATAAACAGTGAATTAATTCATAGCTTTTAACACTTACTCTATTTTTCCAAGCGCCAAAGTATGGAACAGTAACGGCAGATTTGTCATTTTTGTCCCAGTAGCCTGTCGTGCCACTGGTATAGGAATCTGCATTTCCCAAATTTGGAAGACCATACGACAGCGACGTTTTGTCATGATTCATGCTTGCCATGTGTTCTCTGTCCAAATCATCATCTCTTGTGGAAAACCTGGCGTTTTGCAGCTCGTTTGAATTATTCTGTGTTTGTCTTTCAACGAGCAGGCTATCTTTGCTTTGGTTGCTAACAGTGGGACTGACTTTCCCTTTGTTGTCCTTCGAAGCCGTCTTGAGAGCTGACACAACCGCGGCGGTCTGCTGGACTTTTTTAGTCCGATTTCGATTTTCTTTGGAGACAATGACTCCCATTGCCAAACCTTGCCAAATCGTGTCAAAAATTCGAGTTAAANGCGCCAAAGTATGGAACAGTAACGGCAGATTTGTCATTTTTGTCCCAGTAGCCTGTCGTGCCACTGGTATAGGAATCTGCATTTCCCAAATTTGGAAGACCATACGACAGCGACGTTTTGTCATGATTCATGCTTGCCATGTGTTCTCTGTCCAAATCATCATCTCTTGTGGAAAACCTGGCGTTTTGCAGCTCGTTTGAATTATTCTGTGTTTGTCTTTCAACGAACAGGCTATCTTTGCTGTGGTTGCTAACAGTGGAACTGACTTTCCCTTTGTTGTCCTTCGAAGCCGTCTTGAGAGCTGACACAACCGCGGCGGTCTGCTGGACTTTTTTAGTCCGATTTCGATTTTCTTTGGAGACAATGACTCCCATTGCCAAACCTTGCCAAATCGTGTCAAAAATTCGAGTTAAACGTCACATTTTTTCTGTGGGAGATTCACATTTTGTTTTTGGTTACAGATTTACTTTTGGAATGCAAACAGTTGAACCCAGTGCCCAAACAATCCACTTTACTGAGTGAGAGTTGATGCGAGGTATCCCATAATAGTAGTTCCGGCCGAAGCGAACACACGTTGAAACTGATTCAAGGTTCTTTTTGCGAAAAGGAAAATTTTAACAGACAAAACGTACACTAGATGGCCGAGGAAGGAGAGCTTTCGTCCCCCGATGAACTGGAAACAAGTAAGATTTTGTAATTACTGTTAAAGGGAATAATACAGCGAAAGCTGAATGCAGTTTTAAGTGATTGCAGAAAATGACGCTGTCGCGTATGGATTAATTTATTTCATATCACGAGTTCTTTCAGCAATGCAAAATTCGTTCCTTTTGCGGATGTTTTTGTTTGTTTGTTTCCTCTTAATCTGTTTATGTCTTTATTTTTTCTTTGAAATCGTCAACAGGGCGATCGCTGGGTGTTTAAAAGGGCAAAATTTAATTAGCATAGGCAGTTGTTTTGTCAGAAATTAACAATCCGGTTGATTACGTAAATACTGTAATGAAAATATTGTTCGAGTGAGGCCTTAACAGCAATAATTAATAAAGATTCAAGTTAAAATCCGATCTTTCACCGATCAAAAGATTCCACGCGGAGTTGTATATACCCATTTTCATCAACTTTGTCAGAGAAAAATGCAAAAAAGAAAAATGTGAAAACCCAAATTATATATAGGAATAAAAGCTTAATTAACTAGACTTACTGATAAATCACTGTAGGGTGCATTCATTTGCACCATATACATACATCCATGCATTTGCGTTTGTTTTATGCTTTATTAAAAACACCTATGCGGCAAAAGAATGCATCCTACAGCCATTTATTAGTAATTCCTATTTAGCTTTTGCCTGTTTTCCCTTTTATTATATTTCCAAAGACAGTGTTATTGTAATTAGGTGTGTTTAAAAGTAGATGTAAAGTAAAATACATGAAAGATGTAAGAACGAGGGAAAGGATGTTTAAAAAATTTAAACTGTTTACTGGAGTTAAAGCCCTTCCGTTATGAAAAAACCCTAAGCTTACAATTAACTTAAACCATTAACGTCCAGTGCTTAGTCTACTATTGAAACTCATCAAACACCTGTGATGCTGGTTGGTTTCTAAATAGTACATTTTTTCCTATCAGTTCATAGTTTAAGTAAGAACCTTCCATGTGGCTACCTTTAATTCCTTCTTCATGATCATCAAAATTAATTCCCTGTTACAGGCTGTGATGGTGTAGAACTCAATGTTCTTGATGACATACTTGGTGAACCGGCAAATGATGAGTTTGCTGCAGAGCTTGATACTGCTGTTACCAAAACAAGTGGTAAGTAAATAGTCGCTCAGGGATGAAACTAAGAACTGGCTGCTGGCTAATTTATCCAGCTGAAAAAGAACTTATTCCAGCTCAAAGTGAAAGAAAAACAAATATGTGTGGGAATTTTAGAGATGCAGATGAGTAAAACAGCTGGCTTGACTAGCAAGAAAGCCTGCTTATCATTTTCTTAGCTACCTCCTTGGGCACTCTAAGATGAGGGGTGGGTAATTGTATGTCCCTGAAATTCTAAACATGTTGTTTCACATATTTGGAAAGGAAGCCTTGTCCCTGTTTGTGTGTTTCATTGTTGTTATTGCATTTTTAACCATCTTTGTGTCGTTTGTCGCCATTTTAGCTGTCTTATCAAGGCTGTGCTCAAAAAAAAAANTTTAGAGATGCAGATGAGTAAAACAGCTGGCTTGACTAGCAAGAAAGCCTGCTTATCATTTTCTTAGCTACCTCCCTGGGCACTCTAAGATGAGGGGTGGGTGATTGTATGTCCCTGAAATTCTAAACATGTTGTTTCACATATTTGGAAAGGAAGCCTTGTCCCTGTTTGTGTGTTTCATTGTTGTTATTGCATTTTTAACCATCTTTGTGTCGTTTGTCGCCATTTTAGCTGTCTTATCAAGGCTGTGCTCAAAAAAAAAATTGAAGGAACCCAATGCTCTGAACCCATGAAATCCAGGGTGCCAAGCATATGGTTTCTTTAAAAAACTAAGATTTTCTAGCTGCCCAGGAGCAAAAGTTAAGCACCAGGGGCAACCGGGTGCTGCTAGAGGATAGCCTTGCCGATGTTGCTGTTTCCAAGCCATAAAATATTACTTGTTAGATGTTTACCCTAACAGTTCCTCAGTAAAAGTTATGACTTGCTCTAATGTGAATTTTGTGGTAGGCTTATTGTAAACACAATGCAGGCATGAACTTTGTACTATGTCAGGGCAAACAATTGGTGGTTGCATGGTCACCAATTCAATCTTCAAATGGTGCAGGATGACTAAAAGGTCCAATTTGGGTCAAATTCTGTCTCTAACCACTTAGTGACCTTAAGTTCAATCCTTTTGCCTCGTTTGAAGATTGCTGACTGGTTTGCCTACTGCCATTTTTGAATTTTAAGTTGTTGTGTTGAACATAAAGATATTGTGTATTATTATTATCTAAAGAGACCTGTCAAGGAGAGATTATGATTAAGTGTTTACATTAAAGTATTGAAATTATTTTATTTTCTAGCACCCAGCAGAAAACGAAGGGCAAGCAGTAAGGAGGTAAAAAGTGATGATTCAAAGAAGAGGCATGTTGAAAAAGAGCCCAGCCCGAAGACTCAAGTGAAAGAAAAAAGCACAGCGAGTGGACAAAACTTGAAAAACTTAAGTACAACTCAAGGAAAATCCAGTAGCAAGACAACAAAGGTCGCTTCTGCTGATGTTGATGGTGCAAAAACTGACGCAGAGCAGGAGGTTAAGCTGCAGGCTAAAGAGAAGGAAAATCAGAATGGGAAAGATGTGCCTGTTGAAAGTAAAACTAAACACGAGGAAAAGGAGAAAACACCCAGTAAGGTCAAGGTTAATAGTGGTGGCAAGGAGAAAGAGAAGGTGAAGGAGAAAGAAAGCTCAAAGAACAAACAAAAAGATTTGAAATCTTCTGATGGAGATGCCAGCAGCAAACCTACTGAGAAGGAAGTGAAGAAGAAACAAGAGCAAGGATCTGGAAGCAGCGAGAGTAATAATTCTAAAGAGGTTGTGGCTAAGGACAAACAAAATGTGAAGAAAATTGAGAATGCTGCCAAGAAGACCGCAAGTCCCAAGAGGAAAGAAGCTGTAAAAGTTGCAAAGAAAGAGGTTGTAAAGAAGGAGGTTGCGAAGAAAGAGGTTGCAAAGAAAGAGGTTGCAAAGAAAGAGGTTGCAAAGAAGGAAGTTATAAAAAAAGAGGTGAAAAAGGAAAGCAGTAAGAAGGTTGCTGAGAGCAGCAGCAAAGTTCAAAACAAAGTCACAAAAGAGAAAGGAAAAACAACGCCCGCTGAGAAGAAGAAAAGTGCAGCGGCATCAACCAAGAAAGAGGTTAAGTCAGCTGTGAAAAGCACACCCAGTGAAGCCAAGTCTAGCAGAACTCCTCAAACATTCACTACCACTAATAAGAGAGACAAACAATCTGAGGTGAGTTTATTTTTCTTGAGAACTGTCATTTGTACCATAAGTTATGTATTGTAGGAAAGATAGTCGGATTAATTTCTGTTCGTCTGTTTGAATATTAAGTCTATCCCCTTCAATGCTGGAAGGATTTATACAACTAAAAAGTTTTTTTTCAAGACTTCTCAGTAGTTCAAGGCAACCACTAAAATGACTTGGTTGACTTGCTCAAGCTTATTGCCTGGAGCCTGATTTGCAAACATGTTTAAAGTCAAGTTATACTCTTAATATTAATGCAATAAATTGTAGAATAATTATGTCCTAACCTTGGAGAACTTCCAAAATCTGGGTTCCCAGCTGTTGAATTTCCAGCTGGATGTTGCCTGGTCTCTAGGACGTTATTTTAAAAAGTTGTCTAAGGTTTGTTTTTCCTCTTAAATGAGAGTATCAAGGGCATGCTGATTACCTACAGTGTACATGATTATAACAGCAGATCTGACCAGGTTTTTTTTGTTTGCTTCAGGACAAAAAGAGTGCTGTCGATTCGAGTGAGGAAATCACAGAAGCTAAAGGTTAGAGATTGTGTACTGGCCTTGGATAGACTTTTTTGTTCAAGCATCTGAATTGCACTCATTAGTGACATGTTTTAGATTAATTTATTGACAAACTAGATCATGCATGCCCCTATAGATTCAAATTGCAAGAAAAATGATTTAAATCCCTAATTTACTATGTGGATTGAAAGCTGATTTTCAAGCTGATCTGAGGACAATGACTTAATAAAGCAAGTGCAGTTAAACCCATCACTAATTGATGGGTGTGGGGAAGATGCCTGAGTAAACTGAGGGAGCCACAAGCGAGCGTGAAGGTAACCATGACAACCCTGTGAACGGCAACCAGTGTTGTCTCGTGTTTACCCTCGCCAAAAATACATTTAGCCACATTTAATTAACTAATTATTGGTATAAAATAATTTATAAACAATATCAGACAATACTTAGAATGACACTTGCACGAGCGCACGCTAGTTTCAGGCAA